AAGACATATATATATATATATATATATATATATATATTGTAGATAATGTATTATAAGATATATTATTGTCAAATCTATCATTTTTTCAGTTCTATAATTGTCAAGGTCGTAATAACCAATGTAAGGATTTTCTCGCACCAAAACTGTATTTTCTGCCAAGTTCTTGAGGTGCAACTGGCAAGTTTTGTAGTGCAACTTTACTTTTTATTATAAGGAAAGTTTTTCCCTTTGGGGAAAATAAATATCCAATATATTAGCTTTCAAGTTACTCCTTTTATGAGGTAGATTTTTCCCATTTATCAAGCTACTTTATTTACATTCTTCAGACTATAATTGCCCATAAACTTTGTAATTTAATCTCCTGATATGGTAATTGTGGTTTTTACCTTTATGTCCATGCGGTTGAGTTTGTCATGGAGCTCTTCAAGAGCACGGATACCCGTGGTATCACTGTTCATCACCTCTGCACCATTAGAAGCAGCAAAAACATAAAAACCTAGAATTAAAATCAAATATAATTAAAAGGATTTTCCTATTGGTTTCAGTGTCTCTTCTCAGTCAATTTCAATTTCTTGTAGGTTTTATTTTGAATTCTCCATTACAATTTAAGAGAGAGGATGAATTTTGTATTACAATTTAAGAGAGAGAGGAAAACCTACTGGACATGTCCATTATCACGGCTTGAAACATATGATCATTCATCTTTTCCTTTTCAACATGTATCATCCTCAAAATCCTGAAACCAAAAGTCAGGCATATAAATATCAAATTTATACTTTTTAATGATCCATTACTTCTCTCAAACTTCTTTCCATAACTTCATGACCCAAGGTTTGAAGCTCCAACTACTTACACCTAGTTGAACCTTGGACTCAAACCTAAAGATGATAGATCATTGGCAATGCCACGTATCTAGAATTTTCCCCATCTCGTGGATAAAGAATTAAAAAGAAAATGAGTGAATTAGACTTGCATAAAGAAAACTAAAGTTCAAACATGAAACATATCGTGGCTATCCAATCGGCCTAGATTGAATTTGAGTTATTGGGTTTGTACTGTTATGTCAGCTCTTGGACTAACGAAATCTCATATACATATATATAAGGTCATTTGTTTGATACTAATTTTTCAATATATGATCTTTTTATTCTAATGAGCAACCACAAAAAAATAAAATTTAAAAACCCCACTCATAAAGTATTTTTTTAGTCCAATTAATAAAGGTTGTTCATTTAGGTGAAGGATTTAGGCCTTGGAAGGATCTTTTTCCTTTCTAAATTTTTTAGATAGCTTTATTATCATTAGATTAATATTATTAAATAATAATAATAATTTTGAATTCATAAAGGTCTAGATATTGAAATTCATCAAATGAATGGTCAAGATTCATTATTAAGGGGGCTCATTTTAATAATATCTACAGTGCAAATTGAATATACTTTTTCTTTGATTGACTGCTAAGATGAAGAGAGTGTGTGCGCAGAATTTAAGCTCAAACAAATGCCACAAACATGATTTTCTAAAGGAAAAAGTTTATATAAGGTTGCAACCTTAAAATGTAGAAGTAAAGATGCACCTCAAAAATCTATCAAAAAAAGGTTATTTTAATGTTGAAAAACCCTCTAATTGATCATCTCGACATCGAGATAATGAATATTAAAAATATATATATATTGAGTTCCAAAAAGAGTGCATCTTACAACACATTATCTAGACCGTCCATTTTCAAGATTTTCATAAGTTTATAGATCTAATTGATTTTAACTATTTTTTTAGTTTTAAATCTTATAATTAGATATGAAAATGGATTTTCAGATAATCTTAAGAATTCCTTACACCAAAATTACATATTACGATACAATTTAAAGGTGCTCTTTAATTGGATTGTTTAAGGTTGCAACCATATAGAAACCACACCCTTTTCTAAAAGTATGATTTCACTGTATTACAATGACAATATATATATATATATATATGTGTGTGTGTGTGTGTATGTGTGTGTGTGTGGAAAAAACTTGGGTGAGCTCACTAGCTCAGAGGAAAAAAATGAGCCCAATGGTTCAGATTGAATTTAGGCCGATCTGACGATCACGGATGTCCGGTAGTGTTTGAATTTAACTTTTTTTTTACAACTCCAAATCACTTGAAATTTTAGGCGTGTGTATAGAAAAAAACTTCTGTTAGCCCATGGGCTCATGGAACAATATAAGCCCAACGGCTCAGATTGAATCTGAACCGATTCAATGATCACAAGTGTATTTCGTAATTGAATTTTAAGTTTTTTTCTACAAATCCAAATTACTTGAAATTTGGAGCATCTATTATTCAAGAATAGTCGAATCTAATAAAAAAATCAAAAAAATAAATAATATAAATTAAATTGACTAAACTACTCCTGAAAAGTTCAAAGGGTATTTTGGTTAATTTATTTTATGTGAATTATTTTTTAATATTTTTATTAGGTTGGCTTTGATTAAAAGAGTTTAATCTCCAAATTTCATACTATTTGGATTTATATACACCATACTAATGCAGCGTAGCTCAAATGCAAATATATTAAAGATCCAAACCTATCTCGAATGCAGCCTGCATTGAAGAAACATATTAAAGCTGAATCAACTCTTGCGATCAAAACACCCGGCACACTTTCAACATGAGAGTATTGTTCAATACTACAATAAATATCAGTCCCGGGGACCCTTCCAAGTTTACTAATGCTTGGCCGGCCAATGTGCAATACGATCTTCAACAAAGAGATAGAAACCTGAGAGAGAAAAAATTAAAAAAATAAAAAAATAAAAAATAAAAGAAGGAAAAAAAAAAGCGGAAGATTAAATTAAGATTGAACGTTACCCATCTTCTTCGAAACCATCAAAGATCCATACATGAATAAAGATAAATAAACTAAAACAAGACAAATTTAGAAATGGGATTGTCTACAAAGCGACAATTTATCTTTTGTACATAGATGTCACAATCATTCTTACCAAATTAGATGGCTTGGGGTGAGTTACACAGTTCAAGAATTTTTTTTCAAAATTTGAGTCTATTTAATGACATTTTACATCCACCAATTTTGAAATTTAAATGACATGAATAATTGTGACCTCCACATATAAAAGACAAATAGTCTCTTTGTAGACAATCACATAAGTAATTAGAGATTATTTTCATTGATTTTGTTTCCTGATACCGCGACTATGAGGCCGATTTCAACCGATGCGAACAAAACCCCGAAGAACGTGCCCATGCAGACCAGAAAGTCTAGTTTGTCGACCTCCCATATAGAGTACGCCTCCTTTAAATCGATGAGTCCAGGTAAAGATGAAAGGATAATGGATGCGAGGATAGCCATTGGTGTGAAGTAGAGGAGATGAGTGAGAAGCTGTAGTGCCAATAGAACTGTAATAGACATCACTACATTGGACACTGCTGTTTGGCATCCTGCACTAAAATTAACAGCCGTGCGAGAAAAAGAGCCTGCAAAATTCATACAAGAAATCATAGTTATAATTTGCTTTCAGAGAGAGGGAGGCCATTGTAATTATGTTGAACTTGCGTGCGAGAGAGAGACCATTGTGATCGGTGCAAACTCTGCCGGTCTAACTCAGAACTGGCAGGTCAAACTGGAACCGGCCACTGACCGATCCGGTTGTGGTGGTTCGACTGGGTATTTTCAAAATAAAAAATAATATATAAAATCCCATAAAATAAGTGATTTGTTTGTAATGTATTTTTTAATTTCTTTTTATCATTTTGGTAAAGATTGGAAAATGTTTTGGCCATGAATACTCATTTTTATATTTTTATCTTTTTAAAAAAAAATTGAAAATACTCTTGGACACAAATTGATTTTTTTAAATTTATAGCTTGCACTACTCTTCAATTTCATTTGGATGTGCTTGTTTAATTATTCTCTAAATATAGTTTTCCTATTTTTTTAGACTTTTTTGTATTTTTTAATACATTTTGGACTGACCGGGATATGCCCGATTAGGTCAGCCAATTTACTGGTTACTCGGACCCGGCTCCCTTGGCCGGTTTTGGAAGCCCCTTCGATTATTCGAACACTGATTGTGATTATCTTATACTTGTGTGCACATGGCAAGCATGAAGTTGAAGATCCAATTATAGACATCCTAAGTAAATCAGTTTCGTATAGATGTTACAAAGTTTAAAATGCACAAGTATAGATATTTTATGCATTGAGAATAACTTTTGTAAATCAAACGAACCACGAGAATTTAAGTAGATCTCCAAAAAACATAGGTAGAACTTGTTCAAAGTTTTCACATCTTTGACTTGAAAAATAAATAATTCTAAACATTTTGATTTTGAGCTTTTGAGTGGTTTAAGCTCACCGAAAATGGCAGGCATATATTCTTAGAAAAGTATCATGTCCACAACATGTGGAGACGGGGTGGAAGGGTTGCACAAGCACCTTTTCAATGGTTGAGATCTCGTATGTTTATATTCAATGGCCGAAAATCAGTCTCATATTTTATTTTTTATTTTTTATTTTTATTTAAATAAGATACTTATCTGAATTTTAGTGTGTAGGTGTATTTTTATAAATATAAATAAATAAAAATGACTAACAAATATTTTAAATAAAAAATTACTAAAATATTTTGGTCAATAAATATATAAATATAAATAAGTATAAATATTTTATTCAATAAATATAAATATAAAAATAATTATTTATATTTATTTTGGTTAATAAATATAAATATAAATAAATATTTTGGTCAATAAATATAAATAAATAAATATTTTGGTCAATAAGTTTTATTCAAATATTTTTTTACTAATTTTAATCAATCTTACTTATAAAAATTACTCTAAAACCGAAATTTCATATTAATACAGTTTCTAAAAAAATAAAAATAAAAATGAGATTCGTTATTAGCCCGAGGATGAACATGGTTCAATCTGAACCACTAAAAGATGTATGTGCACCTTTTAAGTGTCTACATGTTGATCATGAAGATTAGGGCTCAAATTTACCCGATCCAGAATTTTCGATCCTACTCGGATTGTATGGATTCAAAATTTGGATCTGGATCTAAAATTTGGATCTGGATTACTATTCAATTATTAAAATAATACGTATTTTTAACTTTTAAAGACCTGATCCCCAGAGGCTAATTTAAATTTAAAAACCTAATCCCCATCATGGATCAAATTGTAGAACTGATCTGGATAGAGATCCGATGGATAGCTTGTAGATCCGAATTAAGACCCAAACATTTTGGATCCGATCATATCCAAATGTTATATATACCTTTCGAATCGGAATCTGGATTTGGAAAACTTAGAGTGCAACGGACCGCGTGTCTTATACTACGATGTAAGCCTATTGGTCTATTGGTTTACATAATATTCTTCTTATGTAACTTTTAGGTTAAAATTTAAAAAATTAAAATTAAAATAATTTTTTTGAAAAATGTATATTTGTAATTTGTTCCCTCAAGCAAAGAAACACCTTAACTAGGAGTATTTGTATGACCCTAATTTGGGTAAACAATTCTCATCCTAGGATCCAATTGAGATCTAAATGTGCCGGAACAATTCTCTTAAGAAAACAGAAAGTGATGGATGTAGGAGGGAATCAACAAAAGCAGTGGATATATTATGTGGTCAAAAGAGGGGAGATTCGTCTAGCCATTTATTATGATGAGCGTGCATACTATGCTCCTGTAAGAGTATATTGTATACTTACTCCCTCAGGCAGAATACTAGCTTGGAAAAATATTTTTTATCTAAAATTTTTACAGCTGCCTTGGATGATTATATTTATAAGAACAAATTATGAATTTTGAGTTTTCTAGTGATCTCACTGTTCAAAAGTTGGATGCTTTCTCTCCAATCTTAAAGTATTATTTGCAACCCCATAAAGAATGCAATTTGGTATTCTAAATAGAGCATATGGGTTGGGTTGAAGAGTCCCTAAATTTTGGGATTCTTAAAGTACTCCTAAATTAGGTTTTGCCCCAAGGAGTAAATGGATAGTATCTTTCCTCATGAGCCTAAGATATTTTGGTGAATGTGTTTCTTATTCCTTCATCGTTATATTTTGACTTGTTACCCAAACATAAATTTTACTATCAAAGCGGATTCCTTCGTACTTTTGTAGTGATTACTCGATTATTCATCTTTTCGTTATGACTACTCATCCATAAGTTATAGAGCTATGGTATACAATTAGTCAAATATATTGTGGTGCTATCAAATTATTGTAGAAATATTTCATCAATAGAAAAATATTATAAATATAAGATTTTGGAGGCAACCAAGGTATATTTTTATATTAGTTATTTGGAAAAGTCCAATTCTTTTTATATTTTACAACCTACTTCTTTTCTATGTTTTCTTCTTTTTTTTCGATTTTCCGAGACTGCTTTTTTATTTTATTTTTAAATTGTTTTGGGTACAGACATCTGAATTGTCTTGGAGGTATAATAGGTATCAGTTTGATTTTCCAAATATCAAATATCTTCCAAAATTGGATGGCTCACCCATGTTACAGAAATCGTACCTCTTATAATCCCGTTTCGCAAATATTTGACTGCTTGAAACTTAAAAAAAATTTAAAAGTATAGAGCGTCTAATATTACTTATGTCACAAAAGGCAAAAGTGAAATTTAGGTCAATCCGATGTTTGGAACATTATACTTACCAATAATATACCTCCAACATATCGGACAGCTCTACAAATCAAAAAAATTACAATAAAATAAAATAAAAAAGCAAACCATGTTGCAAAAATTAAACTTTAAGGCAAAATTGAAAAAAAACAATATATATATATATAGGAAGAATTGGACCACATAAGTATTACGGTATGGATGTAATCTTTTATAGTTCCCTATAACTGAGTTACATCAGTTTTTTCCTTATATCCTTATTCTCATTATTTATTTATTTTTATCTGAAGTTCTTGCTCAGTAAAACTACTACAAAATTTTATTGTCATTCAATCCAATTTAGAGTTAATGAGACTCACCCATTTAAATCATTTATGTTTTTCTTTTTTGGAGCAATAACATTAAAAGGACTGCAATTAGTTAGTGAGACTCATATATTTAAGTTTTTTCTTTGTGGAACAATACCATTAAAAGGAGAGAAATTCTATGGAGAGTTGGAATATGTGGGTTAAAAGATCCAAGATAAAAGAGAGAAATTCTATAAAGGGTTGGAATATGGGGGTTAAAAGATCAAAGCTAAAGGAGAGAAAAAGTTGATCAGAAAGCTAATCACGATTGATGTGTGACCTTATTTTTGGATATTCAACTTGATTGATCTGTTAACTTATTTTTGGATATTCGATTGATTCGTAAATTTATTTATGGATATCCATTGAATATGTAAGTAGTTTTCATAAATCACTACCAAATATAAACATATTGAAGTTATAGATCATAGTATGTTACTAGATTATTATTTATAAATATTTGTTTGATATATAAATGGTGTCTCATAAATCAAAACCAACTCTATTGAATTAAAATAATATTTATTTAATTATTAACCGACATCAATATATTGGATATAGGCGTCGTGCATGTTAATATATGGATTTTATGGTATAATGTGTATTCGAGATATGAACTGTGGGCGAAAACTCCCAGATTTTCACTTGCTACCATGGGCAAATACTCCTAAATTTTAACTTTGCTTCCTTGGGCAAACACCCCAACTCAGAGAAAAGTTCATGTGTGATCGCCCACGTATAACTTGCGCCACCCAGCATCAAATTTTTTCGTCCAACAAAATTGGATGGTAGGAGGCGCAAATTACTGTACAGGCAGATCCGCATAGTAACCGTGCCCTTTTCAAACAAGTGAATACTACCCGTAGGATATGGGTCTAGATCCGATTGGTTCTACAATCAGATCCAGAATGTGAATAAGGTCTTTATAAGTCAAAATAAATAAATATATATATATATAGAGAGAGAGAAAGAAAAAAAAATGATCATATAAGACCCTCTCTTATCCATGTGCGTAGGACTTCAAAAGATTACTATTAAAAGTTGGCACGGATCTCTAAAAAAATCAAATCCCACACCCATATGATAATTTTTTTAGAGATCCGTATCAACTTTAATGATGTTTTTTTCAAGTCCTTGACACATGGGTGGGGGAAGGGTCCTATAGGATCATATATATATATATATATATATATATATATATATGTCCCCTCCAAAAACAAATCATTTTTTTCTATTCACAAAATGAACACTAGACCATTCATTTTGTGAATTTCAAGATCATAGCTTTTATAAATTTAAAATCATTTATTTTCTTTATTAACATTGTTCATCTAATGATAATAAAGCTATCCAAAAAAATTGGAAATAAAAAAATCCTTCTAAAGCCTAGATCTAAACATCTCACCAAAATCAACAGCCTATATTAATTGGGCTAAAAAAATACTTTTTATGTTGTGTTTTCAATTTTTTTTTTTTTTTGTGATTGTTCATTAGAATGAAAAGAGTGTATATTTCAAAATTTGGATCAAACAAATGGCCATAAGATGGGTTTTTAAAGTTTTTATATCATATTACTATACAAGGGTTGCATAAAATCATATATATATATATGGGGGAGGAGGGGGGTGATAGAGAGTGCTTCAAAACTGAGAGACCAATGTCATCGGGGGGTACCTGTGGCCACATAGCAGGAAGTAAAGGATCCGATAGTATTCATGAAACCCATGGCTATCATCTCCTTATTGCCATCAAGGTTATAACCTTTAAATGATGCAAATGATCTGCCAACAGCGATGGCCTCCTGAAACATTAATGCAATTATTTGTTTATTATTGTTTTTTTGGTTTCTCTCACTCCGAAATATTATATAATGAGAGCTTAAATTTTGGGGACATATCATCGTCAATCTATCAAGCAATCAACCTCAAAAACATTAGTTGATTTCAAAGTGGATTTCAAAAGGTTAGATTGATTAAAGTTTCCTAAGCATTTTGTTTGATGGAGTACATGTACAGTTTTCTCCTATGGATGGACGCGTTCTTTTCTCAATTGTCAAATTTTACTCAATCAAACATAAACAACAGGGAAAAGTGGGTAACATACTATGCCCGCTAGGGAACTTGTAGTGGCTGTGCTCACTAGGAGCATTAACCATCCCACATAAGAGTGAGCCACTAGGGAACTAGGAGGATTAACCATCCCACACTAATGACCATGGTATAGGCTGGCATTACTAATAATAAGTTTCTAGCCTTTTTTTGGTTCGAAATATAGTTTGTATTTTGGAAACTAATCAGCAAATGAGACTGTACTCAATTTATTGGGATTGTATACAGTTAGTCCATTTCCTTGTTATGCAAAGATCACGAGCACAAGAAGACCACAATTGTAGAATTTGACGGTAGGGGTACAAGGAAAAGCATATAATAAACATGTTTTTTTTTTTGTACAAAAACATGTGACACAATCATCCCATCCATAGATGTCAGCTATGAAATCAAGCAACTAAGGGTGTACAAAAGTGACCATTGGTATCTGGGAAAATTCTCATCAAATTTTGTGCTGAGGAATGACAAGCATTTGATTTAGGTCAGATTAAGGTCGTCCAGCTTGGGGATTTTATGACATTTGCATTGCAAAGGTAAGAGTCTCAATGCATACAATCTCTAATCTTATTTCAATAATTAAACCACACGGAATGGTGCCCTTACAAAACCTATAAAATTAGGAATTGTCATATCCTATAAGATCATTTTTCTTAATTACAAGGAGTTCATAACCACTTTAAACCTTCAGATGTCAAATAAGAAATATTAAGATGCATTGCAAAGATCAAGAAACTTTTTTTTGAATTTTGAGTTTAGTCAATAGCACATCCCAACTATCTGATTTTGAAATCCAAAGATTATTGATAAGTGAAAGGTTTTTATACTCCCCCTATTACATAGAAGATATATGCTTCTCCCCATCTAGCTGTCCAATTTAGAGCAAGTGAGCTACTGACC